TTTGTAAATAAATTGTGAGAAGGCAGTGGGAATACGTGTTCTGCTTTTAGAATTTTAAAATAATAAAGACGGACGAAAGCTTGTTTGGGTATCTACTATGACCTTTTGATGTTTACTGATGAAGCATAAGAACCAGAGAAGTGATCTGATGTCAAATGTTGTGTCAAAGACAGAGACATACGTAAGTTGCAGTGGTGGTGGTGGTTATGTGCCATGGAGTTGGTGGTTGTTGTTTTTGTTAGGTGCCATGGAGTAGGTACCGGCTCATAGCGACCCAGTGCACAACAGAATGAAACACTGCCAACCTCACAATTATTGCCACGTTTGAGCCCACTGATGCTGCCACTTGGCCAATGCATCTCGCTGGGGATCTTCCTCTTTTTCTCTGACCCTCCACCCTACCAAACATGATATCCTTCTCCAGAGACTGGTTCCTCCTGACAGTATGTCCAAAGTATGAGAGACCAAGTTTGGCCACCCTGGACTCCAAGGAGCATTCTGGCTGCACTTCTTCCAACATAGATGTGTGGAGTCGATAGGTCCAGATTCTGTGCGAAAGACATTGGAAAGGGACAGAGAAAATAACGAAAGCTAGAAAGATGACTCTTAGTAAGTGGCGCTTAAGCTGCATCTTATAGAAATTATGGGATTTGAGGACTCAAGTCCTGAATTGGGAGCCAGTGAGGCACCCCAGCGACAGTCACCGGAGTCGGGCAATGTGGCCAGTTCTCACCCCTGTTTTTCAGGCACCCGCTTGACTGTAATGCTGCTGTTAAGTGCCATTGAGAAGGTTCGACCTATAGCGGGCCCTGTATTGGGTTTCCAAGGAGCAGCTGGTGAACTTGAACCATCGACATTGTGCTTCAAACCGACTTTACAGTCGAGCACATTAACCCACACAGCCACATCAGGCCTGTAATGGTACTTTGAGCTAATGTGAGTCTTTGGAGCCCTTCTCAAGGATCTTTATGATGTGGACTGTATGATTTCATCATTTTAATTTAAATTTCATAGTGTTTCAAACACAAATTGAGAAGGTTTCTAGTATAAAAAAACAAAGAGAAATCAGAAATTGTAAGACTGGAACTAAATAATCATATGGCATTTAGGATCATAATACAAATTAAGCATTGTATTTATCTCTGAGATTCTTAGGAGACAAAAAAAAAAAAAAAAAAAAGACTAACAGATTATATAGTATATCATGTTGATCAGTGCCATCAAGTTGGTTCTGACTTATAATGACCCTGTATAGAATTTCCAAGTATCACTGGTGGGTTTTCACCACCAACCTTTTGTTTAGCATTCCAGTGTTTATCCTACAGTGCCACACTAGCAATTCACATACTATCATAGCTTAATTTAAAAAATATACCTGAAAAAATTTCCTTGCATTGAATTCTAGGAAAATTTTTTTGGTAGCTCATTGTAGAAATAACAATCAGTTTAATCACTGTTTTGCAGAAACCAAGTGAGATATCCTTCAGTTGACCATTTCTTTTCCTCGTTTTCATAAAGGCCAACAAAAGCATAGTTCCTATGTTAATAGAAAAATAGGAATTCTAAATAACATAAAAAGTTGACAAACTTCATGACAAGTGTTTTAGAACTGTTGAAAATATTTACTTAGAAAAACCTTTGCTAGAAAATAGCAGAAATCATAGAAATTCCTCAAATGTCATATAAATAATAGAAGGACATGCTGAGTTAAATTCCACAATAAAAGTCACACAAATTTGTGATGGCCAGGAACAGGAATTGTGGAGAAAAGACAACGAGAAATGGGATAGAAGTAAAGGCAAATCTCGGCTGACTGCCTGCAAGTATTGTCTGAAGAGGACAATGAGTTATGGAAAACAATGAGTTATGACAACCCTAGTCTGCTAGCATGACACAGAGAGAACTATCAACACAGCTTCTGAAAGATACAATGTAAGATTTGTGTCAGTTGTGTGGATAATCTCCTAAGGGGGTTTAGTTCCACCAATGAATAAAGTTTCTAATTCTACACTAAGTTCATCTTTTAGGATATCAATCTCATTCCCTGGTTCTTCCCCAAGCTTCTTCCACCAGGGTGCTTGTATGTGCTTTAAGGTGGTGAGATGGGTTTGCTTGGCCTTGGCTGCCACAGGCCTGGATCTACTGATAAAGACTTTAGGTTCTTTCCCCTCTGCCTCCTTCAGACTTGGTGCTCCTGTAGTAAACAGAAAATAAACCAGTGAGTGAAAGAGCCCTGTACCAAGCAAATAGGACCTGGGGGAAATTACAGAGCTACAATTCTGTTACATCAATACGGAAAAGTTCCAACACTGTATCTGTTATCAAGTGGATGGTAGGAACCTATTCACAAGTGTTAGCTATGGCTAGTAGTGACTTCCTTCTCTAGACTTTTCCCCTCAGCTTTCATA